TTTTTTTTTTTTGTTCATGTTTTTTATTCCAAGTATAACCACAGTAACCACAGTAATTATTTTTACTCAATTACCTCAATTGAAAAGCAAATATATGCTCCTAAAATCTTGAAAGAATAATTTTTAGCGCAATTTCCATTCTGGAGAATTGCGTTTATTAACTCGTCATTTCTGGGAATGGATGGATGAATGAATGGATGTATGAATGTATGGATGAATGTGTGTCCGGGCTTTAAGTCGTATCTCCTCCTCAACGAAGCAATATCGATGACTAGTTCCAAAAGCAATTATGTTAAGCAAGTTACGAGGATGAACATAGGCCATAAAAATTACGGGTTTCTTTCATGGATTTCCCGGAAAAGCCAAAAAACCTCGAAAAATGCAGTTTTTGGCCCATATCTCGGCAACCAGACCACTAAGCGACTTGAAACATGTACCAATCGATTCCTGCCATAATTTAGAACAATATTGCCGAAGAAAGTTTTCAAAAATATCCTTTCGTTCGGTCACAAAATTTTTTTTTGAATTAATTAAAATTTGGACCGAATTAGTAGGCATTTTTTCCAACCACACCACACGCGTCATCACGTTCAATAGCTGCGCCATCACGTTCAATGGCTGCGTCATCACGTTCAGTAGCTAGGCGCGCAATGGTTTTTAGTCATGTAACTCTATTGTAAATAAAACATGTAAAATACTGAAAAAAATTAATAAAAAACGTTTTAATAACTAACCAATGGTTTTACTAACCCTGCTCTTGATTTACGCTACGACAGAGCTATTTTTAGATAACATAAGGAAATTGCGCTAAAATTGTCACTAGACTTTTTAATTACCTTGTTTATCTTCTTTTTTGTGTACTTATGTACAAAACATTGTTTCCACGAATAAAAGCATCTCCATATTTGTTTTTTAATTGGCCATTTACATATTCTTCTGTTTGTTCAGGGGCAATATTCATATAACCATCCAGACAGGACAAGACCCCTCTGTAATCTACTCCAGAGTTCAACTTAACAACAACAGGTCGCCCTCTGATTTGGTTCAAAAATTCACTAGGTGTCTGGCGTCTGCTCATGTTTAAAATAATGATATTTTTTTTTTAAATAATGATATAGCGTAGGAAATTATCTGGTAATCAAAACAAGGTAATTAAAAAGTCTTGTGACAATTTAAGCGCAATTTCCTTATGTTATCTAAAAATAGCTCTGTCGTAGCGTAAATCAAGAGCAGGGTTAGTAAAACCATTGGTTAGTTATTAAAACGTTTTTTATTAATTTTTTTCAGTATTTTACATGTTTTATTTACAATAGAGTTACATGACTAAAAACCATTGCGCGCCTAGCTACTGAACGTGATGACGCAGCCATTGAACGTGATGGCGCAGCTATTGAACGTGATGACGCGTGTGGTGTGGTTGGAAAAAATGCCTACTAATTCGGTCCAAATTTTAATTAATTCAAAAAAAATTTTTGTGACCGAACGAAAGGATATTTTTGAAAACTTTCTTCGGCAATATTGTTCTAAATTATGGCAGGAATCGATTGGTACATGTTTCAAGTCGCTAAGTGGTCTGGTTGCCGAGATATGGGCCAAAAACTGCTTTTTTAAAAGGTTTTTTGGCTTTTCCGGGAAATCCATGAAAGAAACCTGTAATTTTTATGGCCTATGTTCATTCTCGTAACTTGCTTAACATAATTGCTTTTGGAACTAGTCATCGATATTGCTCCGTTGAGGAGGAGATACGACTTAAAGCCCGGACACACATTCATCCATACATTCATTCATCCATCCATTCCCAGAAATGACGAGTTAATAAACGCAATTCTCCAGAATGGAAATTGCGCTAAAAAGTTTTCATAACGAGCCTATCAATCTATATCGCTGAGGACAGTGCGTGATATCAATTTAGTTTCTGTAAAATTACGTCACGTTTTAAAATTATAAAATATATCAAAAATATATTTAGTTTTATAATAAAAAAATATTTTGTATAATAAATAGCAAACAATAATTTTTATATAGCATTGTTAAAGTATACTCTTTAATAAAAACTATTAGCAAGACACAATTAAATACTATACAGAGTTATATTAAAAAGTGTCAATTATTTCCCCTACTTTTGATGTCTGACGCACCCACTATCGCTATATAACACTATCGCCTTAGGGGGCGCCAAAATGGGTTGGAAAAATAAATTGAAAGGTTGAGGGGGGTGCAAATTGAAAGTTTGAGTGGGGGGTGGGGTGCAAATCGAAATCGAAATCTTGAGGGGGGTGGGGTGCAAATCGAAATCTTGAGGGGCAGGAAGGGTGCAAATCGAAAAGTTTGTCCCCGGGCGCAGGGAAGGGTCGCTACGCCTCTGGTAAGGACCCCCCGCCTCAGTCTTTTAAATGTCCACGGGCTCCTGCCAGTGGCGGATTAAGGGGGGTGCTGAGGGGGCTGCAGCCAGGGGCCCCCGATTTTTAGGGGCCCCCTAATTTCCCTTTTCAATCATAGTCATAGTAAATTTCCATTTAAAGTGATTTTTAAAACTTTTTTTTACTATAAAAGCCAATGTTTTAATATTTAATCACAAGTTTATTTCAATGTGTGATCAAAATATCAAACTCGAGCACACACTTTAGTATAAATACCAGCCCGGACAGCGTTTGCTTATGACAATAAATTGGGTTAACTTTAGAGTTACAAACAGCGGTCGAATTCTGACACATAAATGACATGAATCGGGTGTGAACACTCTATGATTTAAACTTTTAAAAACATTTATGGGCCTTTACTTTTAGTGAACGTTAATATCGGGTTTACAGGCCAGGGATGACGTTCTTTAAATGGACGCCTGTGGAAATCCAACTTTTTGTTGACATCATAAATGGATGACACCTAAGAGGATGGAGGTGTGGGTTTTTTTTTTTACGCTTATGCCGTGCTTACTGTTTTAGTTGGTCCTAGTTTAACCTCGTAGACCGTCCAACTCTGATAGGCACCTAACTCACGTTAGGGAAAGTAAAGGCGGCTGGGCGTAGTGCTGACCACACTATCTCTTCATATGCCGAGGTCACAGAAACAAGTGAACTCTACTTCACTTGCCCCATAGACCGTCAGGTTTGAAAGGGAAACTTTACTAGTTTAACATCTCTATGTTATTAATAATTTCCTACATAGAGTGGTTTAAAATTATCTTTTTTCTTTTTGCATCTGCAAGCAAACACGTGCCAAAAGTCTTTATCGTCTGCTCTATAACGACATAATATTCTCATGGATATTTATATTTGTTCAATGTTAGTCTGCATTTCCAGCTTTCTCGTGCCCAATATAAATTATTGAATGACAGTTCAATAACTATCGTGACACGAATAGCCAGGCAGGCCTCGACGTAGTGAACTCCAACTAAATGGCAAACTGTGGACAAAATCAGTCTCACGAAGATGTTGGTTTGAAACACTACATGTTGGTCGCTAATTCATCCGTAGGCTCTCACCAGGCTTTACTTCCCCCACCAACATTAGCGGATGGATCTCGCCTCTCTGTATTTTGTTAGTGTGTGTGTTTGATGGTAGTGGGTGGGGGCAACAAATAATCATGCTAAAATGAGTACATATTGGTTAGATGTCTGGGATCAGCATGGTTGAATCGGTAAAGCTCGTGGATGCTTAACCGAAATGTCTCGAGTTCAAACCCTAGGGCAGATTATGCTTGTTAGCTGGGGACAGCAACTCTTCTAGGAGAGACGACTTAAAAAAGAAAAGCAGGCTGAAATCGGAGTCAATGGTCTCAATGACGCATAACCAGTTGACACGTATACTTAATTGTGTTGGAGGGTATCCCTTCCAACACTAAAATTAAGAACTAAGAAGAAGAGAAGAAGAAGAAGGTTAGATGTCTGTATCCAATTTACCGCTCATGAATACAATTGGCAGCTTTTTAGAATTAGCAGTTTTGTAAATATCGGTGTCGAATGTTCCTATAAGTTATAATAAATAATCCATTAATATCTTGAATAGTATGCTGATTAGGATATATATATATATATATATATATATATATATATATATATATATATATATATATATATATATATATATATATATATATATATATATATATATATCAGGGGCCCCCAAAAAGTTTCAGCCCGGGGCCCCGCCCAAGCTTAATCCGCCCCTGGCTCCTGCGATGTAGCGTAGGCCTGCAGAGTTTCTTCCAGGCATCTCTTATATGGGGGGGGGGGGAATATAGGCCTATATCTTCAAACAGCCTAGTTCATAATCAGCAAATCTATATTATTGTATCAAAATGCAATCATTTGCGTAGAAGATCACTTGGAGTTGAAACACATTTTATTTCAATTATTTTACCCAAACTTGTCTAGCAGGCAGATTTCGCTGCAACAAATTATAAAGATTTTATCATAGATTTTAAGATGACGTCAACACGTGTTGGGGTGAGGGAGCACCGGATATTGCCTAAATGGAGGTCAGAGAATGCCGTTAAATTCGCTCACAACTCAACGCGAGGACAAGTTACTCTAAACACTCAACGTGTAGCGCAACCCAACAAAAGAATGCACGTCCATTAGCTGCCTGCCAGGTTTTACCCGCACCGAAACTATTTATACCTTCGTGACGTCACCAGCTTTCTGGGTCTCCTACTCAGGTACTTAAGCGTGTGAAATATTTTACGAGGGGGAGGAGACGAAGGGGTGGGGCGAGCGCAGAAATCGGTTAATTAACAAGGGCCAATTAATCTACATTTCAACCTGGTTTAATTTTGAGATATTTTTTTTTAGAAACGGTGAATAAAATAACATGTGTTATAAATTGAGAACGTCTAAATTTAAATATAAAACAGTCGATGGACCATTGAAAGATAATCAAAATAGAAATCATCGAGCTCAAGAAGGGCGGCCGTGCGGAAATGAAGGCAAGATGGCCTGTTCGCGTCACTGGTGACGGTAAATACGAGCCAGATGGTTCATGTATACACCGGTGCCTTCTGGGACTCCGTCGTCTGCTAGCGGGGGTAGAAGGAGGTCTGGAAATAATGAGACCTAATGGTGCGACCATTTAGTGAGCAGTACAGCACGCCGCGCCAACACGCTCTGATAGGTCGTGAACCGTCAACTCCTGATACCTGTTGCATTGTGGTTGCCATGTGAACCAGAGTTGCTCCCTGGTACTGTGTCCTGGAATCTTCTGTGACTGCGTTTATGTGAGACATTGTTAGATTATAGCACTAGATTACATTAGTTTTCAGTGTAACTCGCCAGATTAGTTTGTTAGAATTTTAAGTCTTTTTATACATGGCCTTGTTTCATTGAGTTGTATACTTTTAAATTTAATAACGTATTTTATCAAGTCCTGCATGTTAAATTAAAACGTTTATTTAGTTTATTGAGTTGTGGCCGATAGAAGTGGTGGTTCTCTCCACCCATACAGTGTAGCTATATATATATATATATATATATATATATATATATATATATATATATATATATATATATATTAGACAGTATCAATTCACAGGCATGAGTATCATGCTGGATGTAAACGATCGGAAAATTGATCATTCGTCAAAGTTCTAAGAAAAAAGGAAGTGAATAATAGATTAAAACAGGTACAGAAGAGAGGGGAGGGGAGAGACCACCGGTAAAATAAAGTTGTGGCTTTAGTAAACTTTAGTTCTAAGTGACGTTAAGTCAGCTATTGACCTGTTGATGTTTGTGATAAAGCATCTTGTGAAGCATCGCTGCAGCTAACCAACCACTGGAACTGGAATCTGACAGATGACCACTACAACCACTGGACTGTAACAAGTGACCACTACATCCACTGGAATCTGACCACTACATCCACTGGAATCTAACAAGTGACCACTATAACCACTGGAATCTAACAAGTGACCACTACAACCACTGAAATCTGACCACTACAACCACGGGACTCTAACAAGTGACCACTATAACCACTTCTTTCTTCTTCTTCTTCTTCGTTCTTAATTATTAGTGTTGAAGGGGATCGAGATTTATCTGCCAGTGGGTTTGAACTCGAGACTTTGTTCGACTTTTCGGTTTAGCAACCATGAGCTTTACCGACTCGACCACGCCGAACCCCACTATAACCACTGGAATCTAACAAGTGACCACTACAACAACTGGACTCTAACAAGTGACCACTACAACCACTGGAATCTGACCACTACAACAACTGGACTCTAACAATTGACCACTACAACCACTGGAATCTGACCACTACAACCACTGGAATCTAACAAGTGACCACTACAACCACTGGAATCTGACCACTACAACCACTGGAATCTAACAAGTGACCACTACAATCTGACCACTACAACCACTGGAATCTAACAAGTGACCACTACAACCACTGGAATCTGACCACTACAATCACTGGAATCTAACAAGTGACCACTACAACCACTGGAATCTGACCACTACAACCACTGGAATCTGACCACTACAACCACTGGAATCTGACCACTACAACCACTGGACTCTAACAAGTGACCACTACAACAACTGGACTCTAACAAGTGGCCACTACAACCACTGGAATCTGACCACTACAACAACTGGACTCTAACAATTGACCACTACAACCACTGGAATCTGACCACTACAACCACTGGAATCTGACCACTACAACCACTGGACTCTAACAAGTGACCACTACAACAACTGGACTCTAACAAGTGACCACTACAACCACTGGAATCTGACCACTACAACCACTGGAATCTGACCACTACAACCACTGGACTCTAACAAGTGACCACTACAACCACTGGACTCTAACAAGTGGCCACTACAACCACTGGAATCTGACCACTACAACCACTGGAATCTGACCACTACAACCACTGGAATCTGACCACTACAACCACTGGAATCTGACCACTACAACCACTGGACTCTAACAAGTGACCACTACAACAACTGGACTCTAACAAGTGGCCACTACAACCACTGGAATCTGACCACTACAACAACTGGACTCTAACAATTGACCACTACAACCACTGGAATCTGACCACTACAGCCACTGGAATCTGACCACTACAACCACTGGACTCTAACAAGTGACCACTACAACCACTGGAATCTGACCACTACAACCACTGGAATCTGACCACTACAACCACTGGACTCTAACAATTGACCACTACAACCACTGGAATCTGACCACTACAACCACTGGACTCTAACAATTTACTACTACAACCACTGGAATCTGACCACTACAACCACTGGAATCTAACAAGTGACCACTACAACCACTGTAATCTAACAAGTGACCACTACAACCACTGTAATCTTCGTGTCTACTGCCGTCAACCACTGCTGCACCATACTGCTGACCTTCGACCCTCGACTGGGGCACACAGTGTAGTGTAAAACGAGCAGACAATGGTATCTGATGTTGCTTGTACTAAATCTGAAAGTCAGGTTATCAACATTAACGAGCTTCCCCGAGGACTGTTTTTATTTTATCTAGAAAGCCGAGGTTAGGTCCGATAGAAGATTTTATAGGTATCAGTGTTTGTAGTGAAGGGTGATTTTTCTTACTGGCTTTCAATTAAATAGATGGATAAATTATTATTTCGTTGCGAAGAATGGTGTAGTTTGAGTTACTGTTTGTGAATAGAGTATATAGGTGTGTTTCTGCTTCATTTTGAGATGACTCTTTTGCTTTCTTGTAAATCGTAGCGTCTATTCCATTTGCAGAATGAAAGTCAGTCAAATAATTGTGTTTTTTTAAATACATACGTGATTTTAAATAATTAGTTGTTTAAAACTTACAAGTTGTTGGATTCAGCAACATTTGAACTTTTAGTTTCTATTTCTGATGCCCAAGTTTCTTATTAAAATAAAAAGGCATTAAGGACTACATTTAAGTAACTCATTTCCCATAAAAACTGGAGATAATGGCGAGTGACTTTATGCATATTGTCGCGACGATAGTGATGTTTGCAGCGGTGACAGCTTTCAATGTGGACACCAAGAACAGCCTCATATTTAAAGGACCCGTCAACAGTTATTTCGGGTACTCTGTTGCCTTATTGGCCAATTCCAAGGGCACATGGTAAGTCTTTTGAATTCTACGGAGTGTTGATGTAGGCATGTGTGATGGTAATGTTGATGTAGGCATGTGTGATATTAATGTTGATGTAGGCATGTGTGATGTTAATGTTGATGTAGACATGTGTGATGTTAATGTTGTTTTAGGCATGTATGATGTCAGTGTTGATGTAGGCATGTGTGATGTTAGTGTTGATGTAGGCATGTGATGTAAGTTTTGATGTAGGCATGTGTGATGTTAGTGTTGATGTAGGCATGTGTGATGCCAGTGTTGATGTAGGCATGTGTGATGTTAGTGTTGATGTAGGCATGTGTGATGTAAGTGTTGATGAAGGCATGTGTGATGTAAGTGTTGATGTAGGCATGTGTGATGTTAGTGTTGATGTGGGCATGTGTGATGTAAGTGTTGATGTAGGTATGTGTGATGTCAGTGTTGATGTAGGCATGTGTGATGTAAGTGTTGATGTAGGTATAGGCTGTCAGTGTTGATGTAGGCATGTGTGATGTCAGTGTTGATGTAGGCATGTGTGATGTAAGTGTTGATAAAGGCATGTGTGATGTAAGTGTTGATAAAGGCATGTGTGATGTAAGTGTTGATGTAGGCATGTGTGATGTAAGTGTTGATAAAGGCATGTGTGATGTAAGTGTTGATGTAGGCATGTGATGTGTGATGTAAGTGTTGATGTAGGCATGTGTGATGTAAGTGTTGATGTAGGCATGTGTAATGTAAGTGCTAATGAAGGCATGTGTGATGTAAGTGTTGATGTGGGTATGTGTTGCCAGTTTTGATGTAGGCATGTGATGTGTGATGTCAGTGTTCATGTAGTCATGTGTGATGTCAGTGTTGATGTAGGTATGTGATGTGTGATGTCAGTGTTGATGTCAGTGTTGATGTAGGCATGTGTAATATGACTCCCATTTTGACGTAAATTTGTACACACATTATTTTGATCCATTTTAATGGTGTCACCCCACCCCGGTCATCGATTGAAAATATTCAACTAACCTTTTTTTTCCTTTTTTAAATTTTGCAGTCGGTGTTACCCTCCCCCCCCCCCCCCCCCATCCACGATGATAGCTTTAAAGTTTTTAAAGTAAAGGTGTTTATCTATAATCGGTTATTATTACAGCTGGATAAATCATTAAATCATTATTTCATATAAAGTTAGCAGGTTTGTGTCATGGTCTCAACACCCCCCCCCCCTTGTCGGGATCGTGTATTTGTAGGCCTACTTAACATGCTTTTTAACTCTAATTGATCATCCATTAAACTGGCCTATATTTTGCATTTTTTGGTCTTGGTCTCACAAAACAATATCCCATAATTTAAGAATATATCTCTCTCGTAGAAATTTTCTATGATCTTTTATAAATTATCTATCTTTTATAAAGTAACACAGCATAGACAAAAACTTTATATTTAGAGTGTAATCTTATATAAGATGTAACGTCCATAAAGATGAGGTGTAATGTTCATGAAGATTGTATGTAAATTGTAATGTCCATTAGGTGTACTGTCGTCCATGTAATACTAATATCCGTGTAGAAAAGACAACAAATTATCTGAAAATAAATTTAATTTAAAAAAAAAAGACTTCAGCAAAAACTTTGTTCGCTCATATAATCTCTTACACATTTTAGCAACCGATTCTTTTGATAAGCTGATTATACAGTTGTTTTTTAAATACTTGTTTTATTTCAAAATTACAGTGTTCTTCAAGGCATCTCTTCGGGGAGGGGGGGGGGGGCGTTACCCGAAAAAAGTCTACCGCCCCCCCCCCCGAACGAAATGAAATCTATATAGAATATATATATTTTTTAACAGTGTCTGCCCCCCCCCCCCGAAAATTTCTTCCCCTTAAGGGGGGGGGGGCGGACTTACATTTCCAGGGGAATGGGTGGACGTTGACATTTCCAGGTGGGAGAGGATGAAGTAGGTCTATATTAACTATATATTTTGTAGGCCCTATACACATTCTATTTCGTTCCGGCGGGGAGCGGTAGGCGTGCTTTGGGAGTGGGCGGGGGCGGTGCCTCAAAGAAACCCTGACCCATTGATAGAATCAGGGAGTAGCGAGGGGGGGGGCGGGGGTGCGGACCGCAGGGGGGGGGTGACATCAAGGCAAAAAATAGCAAAATATATAGAGAAAAACCTGAGGGGGGGGGGGGTGCAAATCGAAAACTTGATGGGGGGGGGGTGCAAATCGAAAGTTTGAGGGGGGGGGGTGCAAATCGAAAGTATGAGGGGGTTTAACACCCGACCTCGCTACGCCACTGGATAGAATTATTTTGTTTTACTGAAAATAAAAAGCTAGATATTCGATGCGGAATCGAGTTTTTTTTTGCCGGTATCGCAGTTCGGTTCAAAAGGGTTGGGTTCAGGCAAAGGAAGAGATATCACCAACTTCTTTAACACCAGCCGCCTTTTTACCGTACCGTATTACCAGAGAAGCTTTCAGTGTTGTTATGATTGTCCTGATTACCAGTGCTAGCACGATGTATCTACATGACTTAGTAAATCTAATGATCGCATAACTACGTCTGGCTGATTTGATCAAATTTTAACATTTCGTGATGTGTAAGTGACCAAAAGCGGTGTGCTGAATACTTTATTATATGTACTTGTAGAGTATAGATCTAGATGCCAGCAGGGGCGGAACTACAGTGCCGCCAGACCCCGCAACGCGGGGGGCCCAGGCCATTTAGGGGCCCACGGCCGACCATAAAAAAATTGTTATAGTTAAAAAAAAATTCTTGCATTTTTGACTTAATGTTTGTTTTGTAAAAAAGATTACCGTAGCTGCGGTTGGATTATCTTTATTCTATAGACACCACCCCTTGGTCATTTTTCCTTCGTTTTTAAACCACTGTGAAAGCCGAGTCCTCTTTCTCCTACAATCAATCCTATCAAAGATAAGCAAACGTTTAAACCACTTCCATGACTTATTTACCTTTTTTAAATAGTCAAATAGTGATGCTCATAAGCCTCTTTTTAATAGATTTGTACTAAAATAATTAAAAAGCAATTACTTTTCTTTATTATTATTTTTTAAAAATTACTTACTAAAGAATGACACTTTATATAAAGATAATGTATTTAAAATTTATAAAAATCATAAAAATAAACATGACACGAGACACCATTCTTTACAGAAAGCTTTCATGTTTTATATTCTTTTGACCTATATGATGTTAGAGGTCTTACGGCAGACATAAAATAAAACTAATTTTCACAAAACAGACTAATTCACTTATACACATGACATGATGTTGTAATTTGTTTTAATTAAAAAAAAAAAAACACACGTATTTGTATTTCTCAAAACACGAACAGGCCAGCAATAAGTATCCTATGGTCGTATTTTGTGTTTGAGTATATATATATATATATATATATATATATATATATATATATATATATATATATATATATATATATGTATGCCTATATATTTATATGGGGGGGGGGGCCTAAAAAATTTTTTTGCGGGGTGGCCCCTTTTTTCTAGTTCCGCCACTGGATGCCAGCGTGGAGAATATCGTTTCAGGTGCATGCATTCTTTGGCATCATGGATGCTGTGCTTTAGTTTAAAGATGTGCTTCCCCCTCCCCATGATATGCATAAAGGAAACACTGGTTACCGTATGTGCACTTTAACCTTATATAGACAATACGCAGTTTTCTCATTATTCATATTGTATATCTAGGTCATATATGTATTGTATAATAGATTGACGACAGAAGCCTGTGGTTGTATATAACACGTTTATTGGGTCTAACTACATCATGATGGTAATACCAGAGAGGACGGAAGGAAGTACCCAAGGGACATCACTCAAGATAACAATATTATAAATATAACTAATACAGAAGAGTGAGTTCCCTTGACCTCACAATTATTTCAATCTATTACATCCCTTTACCCTTAGACACAATAACACATCTCTCAATAGAACAATTGATAGTATCCTAAAATCACCAATTATATTGTAACATGAACACTATGGTAGATTACATCCTTACAAACAATGCACAATATGCTACAACATAATCGAAATACAAAACAATAATGTCAAAGTCCTTTTGACCTTTAGAATCATAGGTCTAACTTATTTGGGACTTTGATTGTCCTGCTTGACCTTCTCAGTGGCTTTTGATTTGGTGACTCAAGATTCTGACCATCTGGATTCTCTATCTCAGGAGGTCTAGGATTTAAATCATTAACTCCAGAATTTACATTTTCTGACTCCAGACAACTTGGTTCACTCATATCAACAGAACTTGGTTGTGGAACAAACTGAGTTGGTGTGAACTGTTCAGATTTGGTGGGATTGACAGATTCACACTTATTATCTGCACAAGTTATTTTTAACTTCATAAGACACAGGTCCTGTACATTGAACAATTTGACCTGGTATCCATTTTTCCTTTCTCCCATAATTTCTTAGATACACATTCTCATTAACACCAAATTCTCTTTCAATGAATGTCTTGTCATAATCTAATGGAACTATTTTTGAATTGGCATCTGAAAGTATTATGCTATTATTCAGATCCTTAATTGACATAGATTTCTTTGATTGATCAATTTTCTCAGGTAATCTGATAGTGCTTTCCTGGTAACCAAAAATACTGTTTAAAAGTACTATTCTGGACCATATCACTTTGCAACTGTGATCCAGTATTTGAAGTGGGTGTATTAAATGGCTAAAATCTTTTTCTTCTTTTGATGTTACCCTTTTAGTTTCTGTAAGTGCTAATGATGTTAGCAAAGTTGTTTGATGATCACCTTCCTTCTTACTAATGTATTTTCTTTAAAACATTTGAAATTGCCATAACACCATAATCATTTATGAAGTTACAAATACTTTGTTTAGGCAACTCTGACTGATAATGGACTGCATCTTCTCCATCTTTTATATTATCTTCACAAAGGTTTTTATTTCTTATTTAATATGGCCTTAAGTCATCATTCACAGACTCTTCAGGCCAACCATTCTTACA